ATGGACATGGCCTGTGAAGCGCCCTCAGAGTCACACTTTGCCTTGAGTGTCATTACACTGGAGGTCTATCAGCTCCACAGGTGCTCTTTCCACGTCAACTGCAAATGGATTGCTGAGCAGTTCAAATTTAAATGTCTGAGCTGCAAAGTCGGTAAATCGCCGAGTGATCTCTGTGCCAAGTGCGTGCAGTTTATCAGAAAAATGCGCAGTCGGGAACACAGCAGTGGAGACTTTTACTGCATCACACATGTCTGTGATCATACGTCCCCGTCCCTGAAGCTGGAGGTTTAGCGCAGTGAGATGCTTCGTTATGTTGCACAAAAAGCCAGCTAACATCGCCACTTTTCGTCCCGGAGCTCTGTGGTGTGGCAGGCCAGTTATGATAAACATATATTTTCTGGCGGGTCGTTGTACCGAGGGCCGTCTCTAAATGTGTTGATCCTTACGAGGCTTTTCATCTGGGTTATTTTGTCCAGGGCCCAGTTCAGAGTCTACATTTTTCCTTTTCAAATATTTCTCCATCGCTGTTCGTCTTGTCACCTCAACTTCTCCGGGGCGTCACTTAATTCTACTGTCCTAAATTAACACGGTCATTACTGCGCTACCTACTGCCACCCACTGGCATGAAAGAGTATTTATTACTTAGCCATCCACTATATTGCAGCTCAGACGCTCAACAATGGCAAAGTATTTGCAACAACTAAATAATATTTTATTGGACTCATTAAGTGAAATTGAACATTTTCCCACGGCACACCTGACAATCTCTCACGGCACACTGGTGTGCCGCGGCACAGCGGTTGAAAATCACTGGCCTAATAAATGAGGCAATCGACATCACTGGTGTCTGACAGAGAAAAATTGGACTTGCCGCACTCCCCCGTGGGCCTACCGGTTTGTTTGTAGGTGAACATGATGACGAAGGGCTCTCGGCTGAAGGTGTCCGTCCTGCACGGCTCGCAGCCGTCGTAATAGGTGTAGTTTGTAGCCACGGACACCGTCTGCTCCCTGCAGAGGAAAGATGCTACTTGACCACGTCTATTGCTGCCTGTAAAAACATTTACTTTTGAAACAAGTAAATCCTGTGCCTTCTGGGGCTGACCACTAGGGGGCAGCTTAATCCTAAAAGGGTGAATGTGGTGTGCAGATGTGTCATGCCTTTTTCTTCTTTTTTTTTGCCAAGGAAAATAATTTAGGTATAACTGCCATAGGATTATTCTAAAATTAATTTTAATTTCCCAACATTCTTGCGAGTAATTTGCATTCAAAAACACACTTTGGTGATTCTTTAAAGGGCCAGTGTGTAGGATTTCACAGATCTATTGGCAGAAATGTAATATATAATATTCACGACTATGTTTCCGTAAACTAAGAATCGTGTTTGCGTTGGCTTAGAAAGAGCCCTTCATATCTACATATTGAGATGCTCCTCTTCACGGAGTCCGCCATGTTGCACCTCCATGTTCATACAGAAGCCCAGAAGGGACAAACCAAATAGTGGCTCTAGAGAGAGCCTTCTCTCTAGAGCCACTGTTACCTGAAGGCCATCGTATAGTTCTCCGACACGCTTGTGAAGGTAGAGGTATTCAGTTGCTTTAAATCCGCAACCTCACCACTAGATGGCACTAATTCCTGCACACTGGCCCTTTAAGTGAATTCGTTGAGAAATTGTATTCAATGGCACGAAAAGCGGTCAAACGTGTGGCGTTTTCTGGCACAGTATGTGACACATGATCACCAACTTCCATCCATCCATCCATTTTTCTCCGCTTATCTGGGGTCGGGTCGCGGTGGCAACAGGCCAAGCAGGCTGACCCAGACTTCCCTTTCACCGGCAACATGTTCCAGCTCATTCTGGGGGATCCCGAGGTGTTCCCAGGCCAGCTGGGAGATGTAATCCCTCCAGCGTGTTCTGGGTCTTCCCCGGGGTCTCTTCTCAGTTGGACGTGCCTGGAAAACCTCCAGTGGGAGGCGTCCAGGAGGCATCCTAATTAGATGCCCGAACCACCTCAGCTGACTAGTTTTGACGCGAAGGAGTAGCGGCTCGACTCCAAGCTCACTCCTGATGACCGAGCTCCTTACCCTATCTCTAAGGCTGAGCCCGGCCACCCTACGGAGGAAGCTCATTTTGGCTGCTTGTAACCGCGACCTTGTCCTTTCGGTCACGACCCAGAGTTCGTGACCATAGGTGAGGGTAGGAACGTAGACCGAGTGGTAAATTGAGAGCTTTGCCTTCCGGCTCAGCTCCCTCTTCACCAAGACGGTTCGGTGCAGCGCCTGCTTTACTGCTGCAGCCGCACCGATCCGTCTGTCAATCTCCCGCTCCATCTTACCCTCACTCGTGAAAAAGACCCCAAGATACTTCGCTTGAGGTAGGCACTCCGTCCCCACCTGGAGGGAGAAATCCACCGGTTTCCGGCAAAGCACCATGGCCTCAGATTTGGAGGTGCTAACTCTCATCCCCGCCGCTTCACACTCGGCTGCAAACCGCCCCAGTGAATGCTGGAGGTCACGATCCAAGGAGGCTAACAGGACCACATCATCTGCAAACAGCAGAGAGGCGATCCCGAGACCCCCGAACCTGACGTTCTCCACCCCCCGGCTGCGCCGAGATATCCTGTCCATGAAAGTCACAGGACCGGAGACAAAGGGCAGCCCTGGCGGAGGCCAACACCCACCGGGAACGTGTCTGACTTATTGCCGAGAATGCGGACACAGCTCCTACTGCAGTCGTACAGAGACCGGATCGCCCGTTGTAATGGGTCCGGCACCCCATACTCCCGCAGCACCCCCCACAAGAACCCCCGAGGGACCCGGTCGAAAGCCTTCTCCAAGTCCACAAAGCACATGTAGACTGGTTGGGCAAACTCCCAGAACCCCTCCAGTAGTCTTGCGAGGGTAAAGAGCTGGTCCACTGTTCCACGGCCGGGACGGAATCCGCATTGCTCCTCTTGTATCTGAGGTTCGACAAACGGTCGGAGCCTCCTTTCCAGCACCCTGGCATAAGCCTTCCCCGGGAGGCTGAGTAGTTTGATACCCCGGTAATTCGAGCACACTCTCCGGTCCCCCTTTTTGAAAATGGGAACCACCACCCCGGTCTGCCAGTCCATGGGCACTGATCCCGACCCCCATGCGACATTGAAGAGGCGTGTCAGCCAGGACAGCCCAACTATGTCCAGCGCTTTCAGCATCTCAGGGCGGATCTCATCCACCCCCGGCACCTTGCCACCCAGGAGCTTTTTGACTACCTCAGCGGCCTCTGTCAGGGATATGGGTGAGCCTCCCCCTAGATCTTCAGGCGCTGCCTCCTCTGCAGAGGACATGTTGGTCGGGTTTAGGAGTTCCTCAAAGTGCTCTTTCCACCGCTCGACGATGTCCCCTGTCCGGGTCAGCAGTTCCCCCCCCCCCCTGCTGAGAACAGCCTGGGGTAAGCCCTGCTTTCCCTTCCAGAACCTCCTTGAGGCCAACCGAAAGTCCTTCTGCATGGCCTCCCCGAACTCCTCCCATGTCCGAGTTGTAGCATTCGCGACCACCGCAGCTGCAGCCCTTCTGGCCTGCCGGTACCTGTCAGCTGCTTCGGGAGACCCCTGGGCCAACCAGGCCTTGAAGGTCTCCTTCTTCAGCTTGACGGCTTCCCTCACCTCCGGTGTCCACCACCGGGTTCACGGGTTGCCACCACGACAGGCACCGATGACCTTCCGGCCACAGCTCCTAGCGGCCGCGTCCACAATAGAGGCTTTGAACATGGTCCATTCGGATTCCATGTCCCCAACCTCCCTCGGGATGTGAGAGAAGTTCTTCCGGAGGTGGGAGTTAAAGACCTCCCGGACAGGGTCCTCCGCCAGACGTTCCCAGTTCACCCTCACTACACGTTTGGGCTTGCCGGGTCTTTCCAACCGGTTCCCCTGCCATCTGATCCAACTCACCACCAGGTGGTGATCAGTTGACAGCTCTGCTCCTCTCTTCACCCGAGTGTCCAAGACATACGGCCGCAAATCAAATGATACGATTACAAAGTCGATCATTGATCTCCGGCCTAAGGTGTTCTGGTACCAGGTACACTTATGAGCCACCTTATGTTCGAACATGTTGTTTGTTATGGCCAAACCGTGGCAAGCACAGAAGTCCAATAACGAGACACCATTCGGGTTCAGATCGGGCAAGCCGTTCCTCCCAATCACCCCCCGCCAGGTTTCTCCGTCATTGCCCAAGTGAGCATTGAAGTCCCCCAGGAGAACTATGGAGTCGGTAGGTGGCGCCCTTTCCAGGACCCCTCCCACCGACTCCAAGAAGGCCGGATACTCTGAACTGCTGTTTGGTGCGTAAGCACAAACCACAGTCAGAGCCTTGCTCCCCGCAACCCGTAGGCCAATCACCAACTTCAATCTGTTAATATGTATATTGAACCGGCTTTATTTAAACCAGTGGTGGAAAGTAACTAAGTACATGTACTCAAGTACTGCGCCTCAGTATAATTTTGAGGGTTTTTTGAGGTACTTGAGTGTTTCCATTTGCTGTGACTAAATACCTCTCTCCTCCACTACATCTCAGAGGCAAATGTTTACAATTAGTTTACTTACTTTACTTACTGTTACTTTTCAGATTGAGCTTTCACATACAAAACATATGACATACATTATAATATATGACGAATTGTTACAGATTAAACTGCCCCAGAGCATATCAAGACGTTAAGATGAGCTCCACTAAGACCAGCTACAAGGTTAAAATCAGCAGTAATAATCCAACAATGTAAGTTTAGTTTCTGTTCACTGTCTCAACAGAGGATTTCCTACAACAGATCGGTAAAAACCATATACTGTGTTCCTGTGACATCAAGTAGGATCTGTGCATAGTGTTGGATAGCCTGCAAGAAAGATGATTCTCCGCAACAACAAACAGGTTTGTAGTATTGTTGTGCTACATAATTCATCCATGTTACTGTGATGAAAAACATTTTTGCATGA